GTCGGTCGACCTTTCATGTCTATATTCTGGAAGCTACCTTTATTGAAACGCAGAAACCTGTTATTCATCGCCAAAAAGAATTCCTATACAATCTACACATCCTTCAGTAGGTCTGTGACATTTCCTGATTGGATTAAGGACACGCCAATCAATGATTGCCTTACCGGCCTACGTTGATCTGACTCATTTTATAAGCTGTACTATTTCCTATAGATCATTTTCCAGACAGTTCTGCTATGATTAGTGTCTGGCGAAAAGCTTCAGCAGATATTTCTTTTGCAACATCTCAACCAACAATTGGTCCAGTTATCAACGTTATTTTCAGGTTTTGAACAACTCGACTTTCAAGATCTACATGTGCCGATGTTTCCGTTTATCAACGTTATATTTTAAGTTCTGTGCAATAACTCAGTTAACAGATGTTTCGGCATATCTTCAAGTTTTGTACACCAAAAAAACTTTCAAGTAAATAAGATATATTTTAGATACATGCCACTTTATAATACGTAGTTTTACCACACGATTATTTAAATAAGTCTTTTATACTTTTGTTGAAATAGCGATAGACATAAAGAATCACATTAAAAAAATTCACTATTAATGTATCATGATTTCCTAACTAAAAAATAAAATCGGTCTTTTTTGGAAACCCTGAAACTAATTTTCAATTAATCTCTCTCTACATTTCTACATTTTCCACTACTAATACAAAAATACCAGCATGAAATATCCTGTAATCACGATATCAAAATAATATAGCACAGAAACTAATAAAAAAAAATGACTGGACTGGTTTGCTAAAATAATACATTATACATGTCTCTGGTTTGCTAAAATGATACATTATACATGTCTCATCACTTTTAAGTAGCAAGTATGCTCAATAATCAGGTTATCGAGAAATTAAAACCATTTCCTTTAGATACAGCAATAATCACACAATCAAAGTGTCGGTTCATGATCTGTACTGTAATCACACACCTGGTTTTCTTATATATAAGACCGTTGGGCAAAGTAACAGAGGACTGTTCTGGATCTACATTAACCTTAATGTAATCACACACACACCTGGTTTTCTTATAGATAAGACCGTAGGGCAACGTAACAGAGGACTGTTCTGGATCTACATTAACCGTACTGTAATCACACACCCGGTTTTCTTATAGATAAGACCGTAGAGCAACGTAACAGAGGACTGTTCTGGATCTACATTAACCGTACTGTAATCACACACCCGGTTTTCTTATAGATAAGACCGTAAAGCAACGTAACAGAGGACTGTTCTGGATCTACATTAACCGTACTGTAATCACACACCCAGTTTTCTTATAGATAAGACCGTAGAGCAACGTAACAGAGGACTGTTCTGGATCTACATTAACCGTACTGTAATCACACACCCGGTTTTCTTATAGATAAGACCGTAGGGCAACGTAACAGAGGGCTGGTCCTTCGTATGTGCTAACCATCCTGTATTCTTCCTGACCAATCCTAACGCATGACTAAATTTTGCGTATTGACATGAACTTCTACATCGCTATGGTAACTATAATTACCATAGCGACCATGGAAGATGGGGAATGATGTAATTAAGTTCAGAATGATGGCAATAAAGCAATTTTCTAAACAAAAAATCCCGTCAAAGACAATTTCTACAAGATTTGTTAAACACATACAAAGTATAAAATAGCAGAAGTTATATAAATTATACACACACACACATTTATATAACACACAAAACGTGTCACTAGCACACTTCGTAACAATCACTGACAACACAAACATGAAACCAAACTGTATGTCTGACGTACCGATAAAGCGTTTGGCTGAACTGGCGAGGCCACGTTATCTAACAGCTAGGATTTTAACATTTATCAGCATCTGTCATAAATTCCCCTCACCTCCGGACAGACTTCTTTCTCCAACCTCTTTGATATACACACACACACATATACTGAAACACTGAAGCGTACTCTCTAAACATCGTGGTTCATTGATCGGAGAAACTTATTAAATTTTAAGGTCATGTGGACTGAAACAACGCGAGAACGTCCAACAAAGAATAATGAAACCACTGAAGGTAAAACACACACGGGTGTTGGAATACAGTACACATTTGGCTCTCACGATTTACTGACACTATTCCTATACTTAATTTTCTGTAATATGGTCTTCTGACTTCACGTCTGACTAACAAGTGCTTGAACTACCATCGATTCAACGACTAACTTTTAAATAAAGTTTGCAATCAAGGCTTCACCTTTCAAAAATTGACTTTCCTGGTTACACAAGACATTGTCCGTATTTACATATTATCAAATAGCAATATATTATGTTTTATTAAAGTCACAATGTTCCATTCTTGTGTTTTTCTAAGAAATTGTTTGTTTTTAATTATGCACAAAGCCACACAAGGGCTATCTGTGCTCTGCCCACCACGGGTATCGATACCCGGTTTCTAGCGTTGTAAGTTCCGCAGACGTGCCACTGGGGGGCTTCTAATAAATAAAGAGTAATAGATTATTATGGTTAACCCTCTGGATAGGGTGGGTTAAAAATGTACTGTCATATTCTTTTTACAGTGTTATATTCAAAATTTAAACTACTTTATTATCAATATATGTCAATAAACTTGGCTTCAAAACATGGTTTATAATGCAAACATTTTTTATACGATCTAAGTTTTAATTTCTTAATTTCAAAAGGAAATATTTAAACAGATTTTCAAAATGTACCTCTCAGAGTCATGTGACATGGTGCTGTTGCCTTTTCATTTATGGATCTTTTCTCTTCTCTTCGGGTCGTTCAAGAAGTTAAAGACACGTGTTATAGGTATTGGTAAGTCAGAATATAAAATCTGAACCTCTTACTGTACTGAGCTATTTGTTCAACCGACACCCCTCCCATATCTTCTGGCTTTAAAGAAATGTCTCTCTGATTTTTGCTATTGGACATGTTTATAACCAATAGAAAGAGCAGATTTTTTACTGCATAAATCAGACAGTTGTCTGTTTGATTTTTTTTTTTGGGTTGAAGCCGATAATTCACTGTAAGGGCTTGATGTCTTTGGAGTAAAGATGTTGCTCAGAGAAGTCGTGGGATGTTTATCATAATTGTTTTTCCTGAAACATTGCCATTCCAGTACAAAAGGGATTTGACTTACCTGAAATACTGCAGTTGTAGCAGAAAATATAATTGTTTCTCACCTGAAATGTATTAAAATATTGAAGTAATGATTAGAAAAAATCAAATAGTCTAATTCACATGATCAAAATAAGTAATGTATCATTTAGAGATAAATTGTATATTATCATGTAGCATACCAAATTAGAAAAAAAAAGTTTTATACTGCACAAAACTAAGTTGAATTGTTTGTATCTTATAAATGGTAATAACAAAATTTACAGTGACCTGAATTAAATTTTTAACAGTTGCGTATCAACCTGTCAATAATAACTGTGTATGGATCAATATTTTTGAATAACTGAATAATGATCAATAAATCAAATGCCACAAATAACTGTGTAGAGATTATTTATTCGAACTCAATAGATAGCTGTGTATAGATTAAGAATTCAAATGTTAGTAATCATTATTTATTTAATGGCATTGGAAAACAAAGGAATACGGATCACCTTGAGGCACCAGGACCATTTAAAAAAAGACCTGCAAAATGTCATACCATGAATAGGGAATCATTTGAGGACCCAGGACCATCCAAAAAGAGACCTGCAAAATGTCATACCACAGCCATGTTGCAACATCTTGTGAGAGGTGAGAGTCCATTAATGCAAAAGGCTACCCATCTAGGCAACGATATGCAACATAATCACGAATGATCTATGTCTGTAAAAGTGACAGATGTTGTGTGCATAAGATGTTTCCATGACATACCTATTCAATTATGCATACCTTAAACAGCTGGAGAAAGAAACAGGTATTTATGCTATACTTTTTGAAGACATTCTGATCAAGATGTCATATGCACTGCCTAAAGACTTCAGTGCAACAGACTGTTAAAATGGATGCTGTGAAACTTCCCCATTCTACATCAAAAGGAATGTGGAAAGCATGCAGGGATTAGTAATGTGCCTTTGACAGGAAAGCCTTATGATCAAGTCTTTTGGAATGGATATTACATTGTAAGGCTACTGTCAAGAAGCAAGGCCATCAGATACAGCATAACAGGTTGTGGCAACATGTACTGTACAAGATGTGGCGAGTCTCTAAAATCAGTTTAATAATGTAATCAAGCTCTGAATTTAAAGAAATGCAAAATAACACTTTTATAACAACTTACTTTAACAGACTAAATTTCATTTTGCAATATATTCCCTTCTGCATGATTCACATTTATAGATGACTTTCTTTCTATTGGTTATAAACATGTCCAATAGCAAAATCAGAGAGACATTTCTTTAAAGACAGAAGATATGGGAGGGGTGTCGGTTGAACAAATAGCTCAGTACAGTAAGAGGTTGAGATTTTATATTTTGACTTACCAATACCTATAACACGTGTCTAACTTTTTGAACGACCCGAAGAGAAGAGAAAAGATCCATAAATGAAAAGGCAACAGCACCATGTCACATGACTCTGAGAGGTACATTTTGAAAATCTGTTTAAATATTTCCTTTTGAAATTAAGAAATTAAAACTTAGATCGTATAAAAAATGTTTGCATTATAAACCATGTTTTGAAGCCAAGTTTATTGACATATATTGATAATAAAGTAGCTTAAATTTTGGATATAACACTGTAAAAAGAATATGACAGTACATTTTTAACCCACCCTATCCAGAGGGTTAACCGTAATAACCTATTACTCTTTATTTCTTAGAAAAATACAAGAATGAAACATTGTGACTTTAATAAAACAAAATATATTGCTATTTCATAATATTTAAATACGGGCTTAGGGTTAACCATAATAATGTCTCTTACCCAGAATAGAAACAAAGTTGAAGACGGAGTAAACTTGTAAAGAAGCCCTGATAATCTACTAGATAATCTACTTGATAATCTACTAGATAATCTACTTGATAATCTACTAGATAATCTACTAGATAATCTACTTGATAATCTACTAGATAATCTACTTCATAATCTACTAGATTTAAGAATTTGAAATGAAAATTCCTAGTTTTCAATCCCTTTCTATTCTTGAGAAGTATAGTAAAATCGAACATGGCCAGAATTCTCACAACAAATCATGGGAGTTTTCATGAAAAAGAGTTTCATTTTGAAAAGCATACATCTTTCTACACCAATAATATGAAACTAAACATCAATTAGTTCACATAAACTGATAATTAATCAAAATTAGTGTTTCCAATTATTACTGTTTTCAGTTGTTCTAACAATCAATTCCTTGACATTATCATTAAACTGTTTGTCACAAAATGGTTTTTGACATATATTGATAATAAGATAGTTTAAGTTTGGAAAATAACTTTGTAAAAAGAATGTAACAGTACACTTTGATCCACCCATATCCAAAGAGTTAACTATGATAATTAATTATCTTTGAGCAGCAATTACATTAGTGAACATAAACTAATCAAAAAATAGTGTTTCTGATCCTTCAGGTCCCCGATGTTAACATTAAATCTACTTTAACTAAAATAATCAATTAATTAAAATCAGGCTTTCTAATTACTAATAATTTTAATTCTTCCAGCTATCCAACTAATTAAAATATTGTTATAATATTTGTTTTTTGTTAAGCACAAAGCTACATAATGTGCTCTGCCCAATCTTAGCCTTACAAATCATTGCTTTCTTTACTTCAGGTGTGTTCATGTTCGATGATATGGAGAGTGAGGGAGGATTTGTAATTTAAGGGTCTCAGGTTCAATTCTCATTGCCAAGAAAGTTGATCACCCATCTTTGTTATGGGAAAGCTAATAAAGCTATCTTTACTTCAGGTGTGTTCACTTTCGATGATATGGAGAGTGAAGGATGATTTGTAATTTAAGGGTCTCAGGTTCAATTCTCATTGCCAAGAAGGTGGATCACCCGTCTTTGTTATGGGAAAGCTAATAAAGCTATCTGCCACTGCGGTTAATTTTGAACTGCTGCCTAGAGATGGAAGGCAAATGACTGGCGGAACCCTCTACCAACTTTTGTTTTGCTTGTATGTACCATGGCTTGAAGAATACTGTACTAATCGATTAGCAGAAACCACTAACCACCCAGCTCTACCTACAAGCATTAATTCTACCAATTAGTATCATGTAAAATGATCAATTAATTGAAATTGTGATTAAATTAATTAATGTTACTCAAATAATCAATTAATCTCAACAAGTTTTTCTGATTATTACTATTTTTGATTATTACTCCAACTATCCCAGTCCACGAAAGAATGATCATTTAGTTTAATGTAATCAACTAATTAGCCTGATGATTATCAATTGTACAAACCACACATTTTAAATTTTTTTGCTAACTAATCTTTTAGATTACTGCCAAATATATAAAACATTCTGTATGATAATAATGTGATATCAATTGTTCAAATTCATTCTACAACCTTTGTTTATTGTTTTATAATTATTTGGAGATCACCTGAACTTCAAACTTCTACAACGCACAAAGTTTCTAATAAGTTTCTTGAATACGATACGATTAATTTTATCTTGCAGCATTTACATGCATAAATAACTCATGAAATACTTACTTAATGGGGAAATTGAAATATTAAAAGTAATTTAACATATTTCAGGTTTAGGTCGTAATTACTTATTCTAGAAATCTTTTTCAAAACTGACATTTTGCGGTTGGTATACTATAAAAAAAAACCTTTAAAAAAATTATTCCTAAAACATACAGACTAATAATGAAGATAAATATGGTTGAGAGGATGAAAAATAATTTACTTACATTATTCGCTGAATGTTCCAATATCAGTAATCAGTATCTTAAATTCTGACTAATGTATTAACATTTTTCTTTGTATGTATAAACATATTTGCTCTATTGCTTACTATTCTAATGTTTGGATTGTATTCTTCAGTTTACTTCGTAGTTCATTAATTTTGATGTTCATTTCTTCTCAATGTCTTCTAAATCTTATTCAATTTGTATCTATAAATCAATACAATGTATTTTCAGACTTAGATGATGATGGAGTAAGTGAACTTTGAAACATTTAGTGAATCATGCGAGTGAGAAGATCTTTTATCCTCTCAACCATGCATCTTCAGTATGAAACTCAGTTTCCCTCATATACAAACAATTATTTTACCATATTGACCAAGCATATTCAAAGGTATAACAACAACAGTTATCTTTACAACTCGAAGATATCATTACTTTCAATTTTAATAAAATTTGAACTATGTTTACTCTGAGCTAAAGCAATCGGTTGGACTTTAAAAATTTCTTGGACGTTTCATAGTTATATACAAATGCTCATTTCAAAATTCATCACTTGACACTTTTTTCTTTTTTATAGAAGTTGCTAAGTGACACATTTTAATAACTGACAATGTAGTCTTCAAACTGTATAATTATTTCACACTTGTAATGAATGATATATCTATTTAGTGACCTACAGGGAAAGGAATCGACCAGTCATGAAATGATTTTTCCAACACTGAACAAATTTAAACAACCAAGTCACTCTGAATTCTTCTCTCTTCTAAACAAAAGTTGAAAAAATAAAGCCTCTCCTCACAACATAAATGACACAAACCATATATGTTTATATAAGTTTTTATCTACATTATTTTTATGTTGATATCATATGGGGATCAAAACTGCAAACAAAAATTCCCCAGTTAATATCAGACTTATCCTTAGGTTCAAAATTCTTACTAACCCAATCAAGAACTATAAATATTTATTATTTTCCCCACAGATAACTCACAATATAAAAGACTTTGGGCTTTATCAATAATTCCTTCTTCTTTCTGTAAGACAGATATTATTTCCAAAAACCAATTAAGAACATACAAATCACAACTATCAAAAAGGAAACAGTAATATGAAGCATAGACTGAATAGATTTTCTGTAACTTCTCGACACTATTAATGTACGTAAACCTTTTCAGTAGGTTTTTTCTTAATTTTTTTGTTTATTTGAATAACATTTTGAAGGCTCGTGTGATAATCGTCAAGTACATGCAGCTTATGCTAAGACAATGTAATTTCTTTTCGCATTTTAAAT